CCGCTGACGAACCAATGCCCAGGGTGTGTTCAATTTGTTCGTATGTTGAATGAGGATCATCTTCGATTATTGATCGGACAGCATCAATTGTTTCTTCGTTGATCGCAGTTCGAGGACGACCTGAACGAGCAGCATCTTCGACACTGAAATTGCTACGGTCAAATTCATGATACCAATCGCGAACTGTTCGATCAGAAGGCGCTTGGTCCTCCCATGCTTGCACTAAAGGGACATGACTTCCATTGTGCGTTAAGCCAGTTTTCCAGTCATATAAAATCATTGTTCGAAATTGTTCACGTGAGAGTTCAAAATTCATATCAAAATTTTATATCTTTGATCTGAAAGAAATTTAAAAATACAGCGACGCACAAGACTTTTAAATGTGTACTTTTGCACATAATCCTAAATATGTCTAACCATTATAATAGAATAGTTCAACTTAAATTACGGCTTTTAAGAGAGCCGGAGGAAAAAACTTTTGGAGTGCCCTATGTAAATGAACCTTCGATCAAAAACTGACTGATCTTTGAAACTGAGTGATACATATATTTTTGTAGAGTATTGAAAAGTAAGAACGGAAAATATCCAGTAGGTACATTAGTGTTGGCAATAAGTGGATGGCGTACACGTTTTATTTCAAATGGAGATCAGCCAGCATTGCGACCGACACCTTTTGATCTTGGAAAATTATCGCCATCATTGTCACTGGGACCATTAGGCATGCCCGGGTGAGTTTTATGCTTCTTGAACTGAAATGAACTTTAAATATTAAAATTTTAGTGCAACTGCATATTTTGGCCTTCGGATGAGTGAACCAAAAGTGGGTGAAATACGTGTGGTGAACGGAGCTGCTGGTGCTATGGGCAGTTTTGTAGGTCAATTGGCAAAAGCTAAAGTATGACAATTGTATTAGAAGAAAGAGAGTGCAGAAATGATTTATTTTATTTAGGATTTAACGGTAATTGATTTTACTGGTACAGATGAAAAAGTGTGATAGTGTAAAAATGATTTAAAATTTGATTATGTTTATAACTACAAGAAAATATCGCTTGAAGATGCTCTGAAAGAATCAGCACCGGATGGAGTCGATGTGTTTTACGATAATGTAATTGTGATCGATACAAGAAATTAGAGAAGTCTAATATACATTGTTGTTTAAGGTGGGTACGGATTTTCGTCATGAAATGATTTCGAAATATATACGAATTCGAGGACGAACGTGTATTTGTGGATCAATATCAAATTATAACTATAAAGAGCCAAAAACATGTAGAAACAGGTTTTTTTGAAATTTTAAGCATACTATTGGATTTGCCATGAAATTCTGCGTCTTTATATGTAGCTCGTAACTTGTTGAAAGACAGATGGCTCAAGAAATTTTTGAATTAAAAATGTAGAATTACAGAAATAATCACTTTTCTGACAAACGTTTTCAACTTATATCTTCGCGATAAGGAAAAATTACAGTTTTCACTTTTTAAAGTAAAAGACAAAGCAATATGTTTAGCATTGAATTCTGCATTTAACTATGTACAGGATGCTAAACTATCTCATTTTAATGGAAAAAGTCGGTATTTTTGGTATTAGGTATACGGATACCGGTGCGTACCTGATCTCTTCTAGGTTTCATTATGAACAATGTTTTATATGGTTATCATATCACTTTCGATGCGGCATTTAATTGTGAAAGTAGTTTAAATCAGCGTTAAAAAGACAACAAATGGATCTGGAAGGGTCGTCACGATATGTTTGCAAGAATGAAGAGTATGTCGGGTTTTCTAAATGTAAAACTTGAAGTTGAGACTGTAATCCAGGCTAATTCTGAATACGCATTTTTCAGTGATATCAAACTTTTTTCTATTCTTCTTTATCGAATATTTCTGTATTTTTATGTGACAATTGGGCTATATTTGTATATGACAGGAGATTACGATGACTGTTATGCATCTGCTTTTTTTCTATATAATACATACACTACTCTCCGTATACCTTCATGGTGACGGGCGTTTATTCTTCATTTTTACACATATATTCTTCTTTATTTCCTCTATTTCATAATTGACAAGTCCGGAGTCGTTTTATTGTTGGGATTTCTTTACTTTCCGTATAATGTCAACTATTATCGGCGCCAAAATACCGTGCAGGTTACCATTTTTTTTAATAACTCAAAATTAAAAAAATGGCAACCTGCACGGTATTTTCCAACATAAAATATTTCCAAACATACAATGTTTTTTTACTAATTTTCTTTACATTATAACTCGTTTAAATGTTTGAATATTTGTTTTACATTGCGGACGGACGTTGTTTTAATGTGTGATCGCAACATAAACACAACGTACCATGATGACATG